AAGGCATTTTGTAAAAATAAAACAGGAAAAATGTGATTATTATACACCTTCAAATACTATTTTCATTCATTCAAAATTATATATCTTGTTTGAAAATTCCCTCCTTTACATTTTCATGCACATTATTAATGATTTCCTTAAAGGGAGATGTTATAAATTACTCATTTTCAAAGATTAATATATTGGTAATTATTTTGAAAGTTAGGAAACTAGTGAGAGCAAAATGTATGACACAATTGAGGTTACATCATCAAAAACTTTAACAGAGCTTTCTAAAACTTTAACAATTTTAATCACTTATATGACACAATGTAATGACAAGAGCACAAAATTGAAATTACAAAGCTGAGTTCCATATTTGCTTATAGACATAATGTTGATTGTGGATATTTCAAGTATTTATTTCCATTGCTTAAAGGACACATCCCCTTCAAAGAATAAGAAAAGAAATAATTATAATAAATGAAAGGAACATTGGCAGTGTCAAGCTAAACTTAGAACCAGAAATAATCTGTTGGGGGGGGGCAATAAAAAAAATGTATTATCATCCAATGCAAATTTTTTTACCCACATATTTAAGGAACAAGGTTTCACATGGGCTAACTTGCCTGTTATATATTGCGTCCTATTTTTTCACTCAACTTCATATTATAAGCATGTTCCCAGTCCCTAAACTGGATTTTAAAAACCTTGAAGACACAGAATATAGCCATCTAATTACATAATGGTCATGTATAAACAGATCATGTTATATGCATCTAATCCCTAATTATTAAATACTCACTAGCATCAATAACTGAATTGTTTAAACACTGCTAATTATATAAATACCATGTAAGATTCAAATTAGAAAACTATTGATATTATTGAAACACATTTTATTTTTAAAATGTATTTCCCAAAGAGTAATTTTTAAAATCTTCGAGCCCCCAACAAATCAGTATAATGAAGTATAATTATTCTTAACCAAATACTTTTATTAATTTTAGAGTGGCAACTTTCTTTCAGTGGTCACTAAAACAACAGTTTGGTAAGTAAGACTGATCTCTCCATTTGGACCCCTCCCACATATCACCCTATAACATTTACAATTGGCCAAGGGGGTCCAAATTGCGAGGACACCTGTGCCATTTGGTAAATCTGCACCTCATTTCTCCCTGCCAGATCCCATCATCAACGGCAGATACAGATTTGACTTTCTATTCAAATTGATAACATAACTCCTTAGGAACATCCCTTAAACGATCCTTTAACTGCAAGATAGCCTCTTGAAACTGAATTTATCCTCACCCCCAGCCCATCCCTTGGATTTCAGAAATCCATGAGGCTTTAAAGGTTAGGCTAAGTGGAAACTAATGAAATGAAGAGGTGGCAAAACATAGAGGTAGCACCCTTTCTGAGAGTTTTCAAAAAAGAACAGTGGGAGGACTTCCTACCCATGGTAGAGGGGACAGGATTTATTTTCTGTAAAATTATGTCTGCCAGAGCATTCTAAAAAGAAGAGCTTTGATTCCAAATACCAACCATGTATAAACACTTCTGGTGTATAAACCCAGAGGCAGCTAATATTTTTTAATGAAGACAAAAGTATGTAGAAAACAATTACATGTATTTTCAATCACAGTTTACACCAAAGTAATTGAAAGTAAAACTAATTAAACAAGAAAACATCAATTAGATATCTATTCTCTCTCTTGTACAATTATATTGTTTTATTGCTCATCTTTCATAATGATTGCCAAGCAGCTTTTAAAGCCTATCAGTTTTCCAGAGAAATGTTATGGACTCTAAGGTGTTTTTCTATGTATTCTGTTACTGAAATTACGACTTTCTTATAAACAGGTGTTCTTGGTACATTTGATTTTTAAAACATCCTGACTCATTAGAAAAATGTAAGCTTATGGAGATCTAATTCCTGAAAATTAATCATTGTATTTGCTCATGAGTACTTTGTATAATAGCTAAATCTAACCAAGTTACCATGAACACCACTTACCTACTCACCTCACTCTAAGCAAGAGAGACAACAGCTTTAAAAGCAAGTTGGTTTCCAGAGTAAAAGAAGCCAAGATCATGCCATTTAATGGTATTACTGAGAATGGAAATATAAAAGGAATGAGGCATTTGTGAAAGTGGTCTCTAACTCTTTAAATACATTGTATTTTTCCTCCCACTCTCCCCTTTCTGAAATTAGCTATCATTAGGTGATAAATTTAATAGAAGAATGCTGTTTAAAAAAAATAGTATTTCCAAGTAACAAAAATGTATATGTTGTTTGCAGAAGTTGTGCTGGATGTGGAATTCCATATGTAATTGCAGGCGCATATGGCGAAGGACTTTTCTTCATTTTTCAGTGCCCTAATTTTGATGCTACTCCTTTTGATATATCTTTTCCTTCATTCAGCCTAATAATAATGATAGCCTAATCTTATCCATAGTGAAATTTAACTTCTCTTTTGTCAGTACATCATAAACCTTTATACCTCATGCCTGGACTTTCATAGCCACAATCTCACTAACATTTATAACTATCTTGAGAGAAATTTGAAGAATTACTTTAAACATCTTAAGATCATGTAGTAGAGGCTCAGCGAGATTACATCTTCCAGCCTTACAAGGCTGGTAAACAAGTGAGAGATGCCAGAATTCTTCCTATTACATCACCTTTCCATTACATCCTCCCATAAGCCCATCCTAACAACCATCCTCCCACTGATTTCTCCTGGAATTCCTTCATATTTATGTAAAGGACACATGATTTCACACTTGCAGATTAGCTTGCATTGCTTTGGAATGATGTCTCCAGTATTTTATCTTTTGAATTAGATTTTAAACTCTTCAAAGATAAACATCTTTTGCTCCAGCCCTTTATCACCACACAGTGTGTTCCTGAGCATGGGATGGAGATAAGAGAGTAACACTTCTTTGCCTGATATAATCTCTATTACCCTTGGTGGATCTAGATTATCTACTCAATCTTGTCTCTGCTTCCAGACATATATATTTTTTCCAACCATATCTTTTAATCAGTTTTTGATCGGATTTTGATTATTTGCTGTGACTCTTAGATCCTCAGTCCAATCCTCATGGCTGTCCACCTGCTGTAGTTCAACTACCCAGTAATAATCTGATGTTTGGCCCATTTATCTATGATCACACTTACCCTAGGTTTTTAAGTTTGGTCACACCTTCAGACTGAGTTGATGGCATAACTATGTAGCCTTTCTGGACATGCTGTCTAGCCAGACTTTTTTCTCCTGGACCAATTTTACATGATTTGTGCATTAGTGCAGCCTACTCAGGGCTGAGAATACAGACCACATGCAGGAAAACCTCTATTTACAGAAACTCCACTTCCTACTATGGGCTCCATAACTGCCCATGATTTCCTATATTCTCCTACAGCTATTGAACATATCTAATTTTCTAGCACTTTCCTTAAGAAATCAAGAGGAGGCAATGTGTCAGATTCACCTTTGTAGCAGAATGTTGATTTGTGAATGAATTGTTGATACCTTGTTGGCATTACATAATTGGTAAAACTAGATATTTGTGAGCAGATAAGCATCCTAATAAGGTGGCTTGACAAAAAGCTAAAAGAACTTGTTTAGAATTATCAAAGTGCATCATATTTGTTTTGACTTGTTGGGAGAAGGTAACTTCTTTTGCCTAGTGTAGGTCTCCAACACCCAGAGGTAAAACGACTGATCCAAAATGTAAACAAATTTGATTTGTATTGAAATGGGTTAATGATTCAAATTCTCCAATGGCCACTGTTAGTTACACCAGGAAAGGACATGTGTCTAGTTAAATGATTATTATTGAAGAGACTTTGTCGTAATAGCCAAGAGTACTGTTAGGATAAATTTGGCTAGGTTTCAGAGTGCAAGTTCACAGGCTAGCTAGTAGGACTCAAAAAAATGTAGAAAGTTGTATAATAGCTGAAGTTACATTGAAACTACCATCAATAACAGTTTAGAGTATATTAATCTAGAGAAAAGTGTCTTCTTAAAATAGTCTTTCAGCTAACATACTTTTTTTAGTCTGTCACCCCCTAGGAAGTTCTTTCTAGTTACCAACATAATATCTGATAGGAGCAGATCTCTAAATTCTTAAGCATAATGAACCCAATTTTCTTCTCTTGTAGGAAGATACTGAGAGCACTTGATAGCATATGTTCTAGCCATAGTCTTATATTTTACAATATGCAAGAATTGCTGAAAAGATGAAATCCATGTACCACATCCAATGTAAAATTCTCATGTAAAACAGGACATTTTGATATGGCTGGTTGTATATAATGCTGCTATATACATTTTGTGACACCACCACCCCCACCCCCAAAAGTGCTATACGTACCAACAGATGGGCAGCCTAGACATCCTAAAAATATTGCTGACTCTCCCTTTGCCAGATCTCCACTGTTCTCAAGCCCCGTGCAGGCTCCAGTGTTAGGAAATCAGAAAACAAAGGAAAGCACCGACCCGGCAATCTCATCTGCGGCTCCTGAGACAGGAGTTAAGTGTTCTGTCGTGATCAGAGGCCGCAAGGCCACAGCAAGTTATACTGCATTGTCTCACCACAGTGTCTCATCTCGAGGACACTCGGACACAGTCCACCATGCAACCCGCGTGGCCTCGAGACCGATCAGCACGGGGCCATGGTCAGCACAACCGCCAGGGACATCTGAGCGATTCACTGTCATTCGAGGAACCACGAGGCTGAGGCCGGGCCAGTGGGCTTTGCGTCTCCTAGAGAACGCCCTGTTCAGACTAGAATCTCCTTGCTGCCAGGGAGGCCGCAGCGCACGCCCACGCGCAGGCGCAGGCGCACGCAGGGCCCTGCAGAGGGCGCAAACGAGGCCGCAGCGCATGCGCAGGCGCAAGCAAGGGCCCTCCAGGAGGCGCGCGACCCCGAGCTCAGCGGCTGCCTGGTGCGCATGCTCGTCTCCCGCTTCTCCTCCCGGCCGCACCACCATCAGGGCCGGTCCTCTCACCGCCATGTCGGATTACTGCTCTCCCAAATACCAGAGCGGGGACTTGGTGTTCGCCAAACTCAAGGGCTACGCGCACTGGCCCGCCAGGGTAGAGCACATGGCCGAACACAACCGCTATCAAGTGTTCTTCTTCGGGACCCACGAGACGGCCCTCCTGGGCCCCAAACACCTCTTCCCGTACGCCGAGTGCAAGGAGAAGTTCGGTAAGCCCAACAAGAGGAGGGGCTTCAGCGAGGGGCTGTGGGAGATCGAGAACAACCCCACCATCCAGGCCTGCGACGACCAGGGCCCCCTCGAGAAGAGCAGCGCCGAGGGGCCTCCGCCCAACGCCTCCGAGGCCGGTGAGACCCAGAAGGGCGGCCCCCGCGGCGGCGATGAGAATGGGGAGCTGTGTGTCGAAGAGCCAGCCCGGAAGCGGGAGGAGATGGGGCCGTGGAAGCGGGAGGAGTTGGGGCCCCTGAAGCGGAGCGCCGAGGACCTGCTGGAGGACGTCCTCAAACGCCCCAAGGAGGCCGATCTGGAAGGCGAGGAGGCGGCGGCCCAGGGGGCGGAGGCGGAAGCGGAAGCTGCCTGCGCGGCTGCGAGGCCCGTTTTGGTGGAGTCGTTGGAGCAGGGCCCCGCCTGGGGGCCGCCGCAGGAAGAAGGGGAGCTGCAGGAAGAGGCTGCCGAGGTGGGAGGGGAGGCTGAGGTCCCGGGTGATGGAGACCACGAGAGCCTGTAGTCACCAGAGTCAACAAGAGCCCCCTCCCCGTCCCCACCACGGCCTCTTCAGGGGCCGTGAACTGAGACCGCCTTCCCAGCCCTGCCCCCCCTCCCCCCTCCCACCCCCCCCCCCCCCCCCCCACACCCCCGGCCTGTGAGGTTGACCTGGATGCCTGGATGGGCAGGCCACCCGCTCACCTCTGCCCCCTGCCCCTGGGATGCGACGAGGCCATCTGCCTTCCTGCCTGGAACTGCTGCCCGAGTCTTCTGGCCTGCACCATTCCCACCTCCCAGCACCCGTCTCTCCCCGCGACATTCCGGACCTCTGCGCAGGGATCCAGCGGGAGTGGAAGGGAAGAGGATGACGAGCAAGGCGGCCTTCAGAGGCCTGGAGGGAGCGATCCTGGAACTTTGGTGGGGGGTGGACGGTGGCAGGGGAGCGCCGTCTTCCCGAGTTCCTGTCCACTTCTCCCATCCCTACTGGACAGCTTGTGGGGGAGGCAGTCCCTTCCAAAAGTATTTTTTACTGACCCAGGGAGTTCTTACATTGTAGTTTTTCATAAAATTATTTGGGGGACCAGCAAGTTGTTTGTAAAATTGGAAGGCTTAGCTTTGCCCAGCTTCTGGGATGGGAATGGTGAGGAACATCTAGCCCCATTTAGATCTCTAAGACCACATGGGTGGTTCTGGGAAGACCCTTGGCCAGCCTTCCCTACAACCTCAAGGCCATCCTATAGTCATATACGACAAGGCACATAGTTTAGGAAACATTTTTAATAAAAGGAAATATTTTTTTTTTTTTAATTAAGAACTATCCCTGGGTATACCTCCATGAGGCTCCTAACTCTTCCATTGCTATCCACCTCCCTTAGATGAGCTAGGAGGTTCCCCTTTTTTTCAGGGTTCGATGCCATTCTTTTTGTAGTTAAGGCTTTGTTGTTTGCAGTGTAATTTCCCATCCACATTTCCCAACCGGCCACCAAACCTGATACGTAACCTATTGAGAAGAAGGAAAAATAAGTGACCCCTCTTCACCTGTTCTGGTGGTCTCTCTATGCCCTTTTCATCTTTTTATCTCTTCCACCCCCAGTCTTCTCCCTTGGGCTCTGATGAAAAATTGTTGACTAGCGATGGAAGTTTAGATCTGAAGTATTTCCGTTCTAGAAAATAAAGCTCTTTGATTACGTTAAAACAAATCTCAGGTCTGTTTCTTTGGTTTCTGAAGAATTGGCCCTTAAATTAATGCTTCTCTCAGTTTCTATAAATCCTATGTAAAAATATTTTATTTTTAAGTCCTCACCTGAGGATATGTTTCTCTATTGATTTTAGAAAGAGAGAGTAAGCGGGGGGAGAGAGAGAAAAACATCAAAATATTGTTTGGTTGCCTTCTGTATGTGTCCCATCTGGGGATTGAACCTGTGACTTGGGTATGTGCCCTGACTGAGAATCAAACCTGCAGCCTTTTTGCTTATGGGACAAAATTCCAACCAACTGATGCACCAAGTCAGGGCTATACAGGGAAATTTTAGTATCACCCTTGATAAATCTTTATTATCTTAAAATCTCTATTCCTCACACCATCTAGCATAGTCACTGCCACTGATTAGAATGAATTGAAACAAGTTACAAAATATTTGAATGGTAAGTAAATGAGAAAATAATAGTCTATGTGCTTTGCCAAACAACAGATCTGGTGAATAAGTGTAAGAGGATTTGACTTTCTTTTAGTTGTTGCTTTTTCAGATTTCACTAGTTTCTTTCCTATAACACTTATTACATGAAAAAAGCAGTAACTTTATGTTTCCAGTTCTTAAAAATATATAGTATCTGCAGGACATTTTGTCTTTGCAGTGGCTTTGTGTGAATATCTGGGGATGTTTCAATATACTTAATGATAATCACATGCTGGGTTCCAGTTTCTGCATTCATCAACACTGCATGCATGCAGAGGCTTAGTAAATATTGGAGTCCTTCTCACAGAACATGCCAGGCCATGACTAAACAGCAGGATAGGCAACTGAAGACAATCCTATGTCTCCATCTCTGTATAAGATGGAATTATTTTACTCCAAGGACTACAAATCAAATGATGCTTTATTTGTCAACTGCTATTGCATACTAGGTGCTATTACTATTCAATAGCTGTTTTCAGTTAGTCTTTGTAATAATCTGGCAAGATAGGCATTAGTACTCAAATTTCCCACTGGAAGTAGCTCTGGTTCAAAGAAAGTTAAGTGGCTTTCTTGCACTTCACAGGACACTCAGGATTCAAATAGAGATTTTACTGAGCCAAGCCTAAGCTTTGTCCCCTGAATTTCACATTCAAAAAAGTACTAACCATGAAATCAGAATTTTTTTCCTATTTTAGCATTCATAACAAATAAGTAACTCTGAGAGTTACTTATATTTAGTCTCTGAGCCAGGCAGTATACTATATTCTACATGTAATATATTAATACAACTACCCAATTAAGTACAGTTATCTCTATTTTAAAGCTGCAGAAGCTGAAAATCAGAGATGTTAAGTATTTTCCCGAAGTCAGACAGCAGTAAACAAACCAAGATTCAAAGGCAGGTCTTTCTCATTCTAAATCATAGGTGCTTTGTTTTATTACTGTATTGCTTCCCACTAAATAAAGTGGTAGTACTGATTCTCTGCTATTTTCAAGTGAACATTTAGAAATTTGTATCTTAAAGAATACATTAACAAATATTGCTAGTAGGTATGTGAAATAACTATTTGAGGCAACTGACAATTGTTTTGTCATTAAGTGACTTGGTGAAATGATGAGGAGACTTGCACATCAGAATTTTTCAAGAAGTATGTGACTATAGGAAGTCTGAATGTGGAATGGTTTATTTGCCATAGGCAAGCACATGATTTTGATAAGGTTTTTATGGAGGCACATCTTCTGAAATGATTCAATAAACTGAAAGATAGAAAATGAAATTACTACCATTTGAGTCTGTCTTTTTGTATTTTTCCTTTTTTGTTTTTGATGTTAGGGATACAAAGAGTGGTGTTTATTAGAGAGCATCACACACATTTGCCTTCTTAGTGACTATAATATGGCAATGAAAATGGTAATCAGACTAATAAAGTACATCTAAAGGATGATATACAGAGTTAACAAGCAAAATTAAACATGGAAAAATGTGTACTCTCAGCCCTCTTCTTCTGGGCAGTAGGCACTATTTGTATGCTTTGGTGGCCAAGAGATGTTTTTGTATGGACTGAAAAAGATGCTGTTTTCTAAAATGTCTCTGGTTGCATAAAATTCCCCATAATTTCAATGCTGTCCTTTGTCTTCTTCTAAAGAGCATATGCCTCAGTGACAAAATTACTGATCAATAAATAGTTACCTTACTGAACAAAGAGCACTGCTCAGCCTTTTGCTGAGGCTGTGTTGTGGGTATTCAAATGTGTTCATGAGTGTTTGGAAGATCTTGTTTAAGCGTTCCATGTAAATGTGTGCTCATCACATTGTCAATGATTTGCAGACATGTTTAACATCTGGTTTCTGTAAGGCTTTCGAAGTATTTGATATTGCACACAAACATCACTGATTACATCATTTTGGCAAGGCACTAAGATGCCACTGAGGGTTGTAAATTTTGTTTCTTTCTTTTAGTTCTCACCAGTTCTGCAAACTCTCATCAAAGGTGTGACTTCTTTGTGGCTTATACCTCCATTTTATGTTTCCTGAAAATATAGTATATATTCAGGGTGCATAGGGCATTTTCTATTCAGTTGGTTGTCAACACTCTTGTCAAAGAAAAACTTCCGCTACACATGCTACACACACATGCTGTTCCTTGCATTTAGAAAACTGCCTCTCTTGGGCTTGTCTAACTACTCAGGACGAGAGTCAGCCCTGTGTGTTCCTGCACCATTCTATGCTCACAGTGATTATATTCTAATTTCCTGTTAATTTTTTGCTCTTCTACTAGGCTGGAATAGAAAGAAAATTATGTTTCATTAATATTTTATCCCAATTTCCAAAACATGCCATAATAACACAATATATTTGTTTTCTAAATGCTTGAAAGCCTGTTATCAAATACTCTTTATACTCATAGTTCTGTAATAAAAGCCATATGTGATGCTGAATTCATCCTGATTGTGAAAACAGGGAGGCAGTGTAAACTGGCCCATGGCCTAATGACATATGCAGATTTGGGTGATTTTGTGTTCATGCAATTAACTTCATAAATTAGGTGACTTGAAAAGCAATTGACAGTTCTCACAGACCCAGAGAAAGTGTTCTCTGATGCCAAGGAAATGCTTTTTATTTCACCCAGATTTTCCCACTATTTTAGTCACTGTCTTAGTTGAACCAATAAGGTCCCCCGGTAAGCAAGAGAACATTCTGGTTACTGTCTTCTTCATACAGGAGTCATGTATTGACCATTCAGCCAAAAATTTACAATAATAAACTGTTAGTATGTCAAGGAGAATTTGGATCTGTCATTCCTACAGCCTCTTGTGGTGTAGATACCTCACTTGGTGTAGACATTTCTCAAAATTTAATGTATTTAAAGAACAGCATCTATCCACCACACAATATGGCCCCAATCTCACAAGCCAACTATTTGGTTTATATGTAAACAGTTATATTTCCCTCTTCTGGTGGAAAAATTGACCATATTAGATTTTGAGAGCTCTAAAATAGAGACCTCCTAAGTGGTTTTTAGAGTGATTCTGACAAGAGATTTTTTTTTCCTCTTGGCAGTCTGATTTTACATGTAATCTTCACTGAAGTGGTCTTGAGAATGCCAGAGGATACAAAAAAAATATCAGGGCAAAGACTCTGGATGGCCAGAGGCAGCCTGGGGCTTGTTTATCAAGGGCAGTTGTAGTTGGAATGACCACTTCTTTGGCATGGGGACAGTGGAAAAAGAACTTCACCTACTTTTGGTTTTGCTGTGTGATCAGTGCCTGAGGAGTATGGGTCATCTGGTGAGTTCCATTTTCTCACTTTGATACATGCGCTTCTTTCTTCTAGAAAACTTCATTCT